ATGCTCAAAACCACTCCGGGGCTGCTCCTGGGAGCGGGGCTTGGTGTTGTCGAACTTCCCCATCCCACCCCCCCAACCCGCTGCTCTGGCATCTGCAATTGAAACTGGAATTCAAGGGTCAAATTCAAGCGCAGAGTGAGCAGAAGGACTCGGACCTCAAGAGAGCGGCACCTGCTAACCCCCAGCCTGAATTTGGTTCAGCGAGAGTGTAGGGGGGAAAGGCAAGTTTAGAAAGAGGCAAGCTAAGGGCTGATGGTGGAACGGCAAATTTCTCCCCACCGGGATGGCGGGGAAGGCTGGACTGAGAAGGAAGAGTAGGATCCATAGAGATGTGAACCAGAATCAGTCGTGTTGAGCCCTGGGGATATCACTATACGTTTAGCTCTTGCAAAACCATTTGCCCAGGGCTTTGGTACCACAGGGTTAGAGTTACATTAACCACAACCACCAGAGAGGAACTGAGGTTTATGACCCCCCCACAAGGTTAGATTTCTGCTGAGTATAAAGGGGAGGGGAAGGGGGGGGGGCCTTGGTTCATTTCCCTTCACTGTGTGACCGAAGGTTTTGTTTTTATTTGTAAACATCTTGAATTACCCGTCGTTTTCCAGTCTTCATCGTGCTGTTGTCAGGCCACTGGAGAGTACAGCATTTTCTGAGCTGGGCTGGGACTGCTCCTTCACCACTGGATCTGCAGGACACCGAGCGGGCAGGAAGGGGAAGCAGCACTTAATAATCGGAAGCTCCACCCTGGCCAACGCTTCCAGAGAAACTGCCCTCAAAACCTAAGGACCGGCCAAGGCTCCTTCGAGAGCTGACGCTTCCCTGCCACCCAACATCCCTCCCTCTCCCAGCCGGCCCCGCTGGGCTCCAGACTCACAGAAATAGGGGTGGTCCATGGCCTCTTTGGCAGTCAGCCTCTGTTGATGGTCATACCGCAGGAGCTTATCCAGGAGGTCTAGGACTTCAGGGCTCACCAGATGTCTGTTCTCGCTGTGGATGAAGTTCTCCCAGCGTTTCCGGGAATGCCTGCAAAGGGACTTGCTGTCACTGCCCGGATCTGCCCAGCACAGCGGTACCAACAAGTGCCAGGGGAGGCACCTGCTTCGCTTCACTGCTGGGAAGAGACGGTCGCGAGGGACTCTGCCTCCCTCCTTGCACAAGCTGCTGCTCGGCAAGTGTTTGCCAAAGGGGAAAATCCTTTCCTTTAGGCACACAATCACGTGGATGATGTCTGACGTCTGGGAAATGCCAAGCTGGGGAGGGTGCAATAAGTTCCCTTGCAGCTCCAGGGCCTGGACACCAGCACGCATGGTGACACCGTGGCACCAGGGGTGCTCTGCTTTGCCAGCCAACCTGCTTCACCCAAGCTGTATTCACTTTCCCATCCAATTCCAGGCTTTTTGGATATGTAAACTAGGAGATTTTGAGCTTCTGAAGCAGGGCTGAGGGGGCAAGAGCTTCATGTGCCTTTTTCAAAAGGCTTCGCTTCTGATTTTGGTCAAACATCTCCTGGAAAGGTGATGTGCAACTGAGCTCTCCACCAGTCTGGATCTCAGCACGCGTCACTCCTTTCCCCCCTCACTGTTTTTCTTCCCCAAAAAAAAAAGGGAAAGAAATACTGTGGGGGAAACGGGAGAGTTGGTCCCAGACAGCTGTCTGCACCAAGGCAAAGCTCTGTCTAGGACAGAAGAAAATCAGAAGCGAAGCCTTTTGAAAAAGGCACATGAAACTCTTGCCCCCTCAGCCCACATAGTGCTCCAGTGTTTACATCTTCACCCTAGGATGTCAACGAGCCCAAGAAGAGAGGGGCAGGGGCCGCCTCGTGGATCATGGGAGAGGTGAAGGGAAGAGGCCGCGTTTCCGTGGGCTGTGGGACGACGGGAGCAGCCAGCCGGGAGGCCGGCAGCACCGCTGCGACCCGCGGATCAAAGCGAGAACTTCGGGGGACGGACACTCGACTCATCTCCTTCCATTGCAAGGAACAAAGGCTGCATTTCACTCCCCACTTACTGGCCCAGGATATCATTGAAGTGCGGGTCCAGTTCTATGTGGTACTTCTTGAGATAGCCATACAGCTCGTCTGTGCCCAGGACCTTTGCGATGCGAACCAGCTGCAACAAAAAGCATGTTGAGAGAGGGCAGGAGGGCCGGCCACCAGCTTGGCAGAGGGAGCAGATCCTGCCGGGGTGATTGCTATTGAATTTGTGGCTCCTTTCTGGTCTGATGCCAACAGACAGGACTGTCTCACAGAGGCAGAGCCACCCAAATCCAAGATCTCTGTCTGGAAACTTCCCAGATTGAAGGTAAAAATCTCCTTGAAACTTGTTTTTGCAACATGAGCATAAAACAATTTCCTCCTTAACGCAGGAGATGTGTAAGCCCGGGTGGCTCAAGGAAGCCAGTGCCCTCCCAGCCTGGTCACCACATCCCCAGGATCTCCCCATCACACACGCACACGAGATGGCAAGAAGTTCCTCACGAGATGAGCCAGGTAGCCAAGTCCTTACCTGGTCATAATTGTCCTGGCCATGGAAGAAGGGCTCCTTTCGGAAGATCATGCTAGCCAGCATACAGCCTAAACTCCACATGTCCAAGCTGTAGTCATACATCTGAGGGGGGAAGGAGAAGCCGTCAGGCAGGCCGTGCTCCCCACAGGCTGCTTCCCCAACAGCAGGAGGCAACCTCAGCCTTCCAACCCCCCGACCACGTCATTCCCTGCCAGGCCAACCCAGCGGTGGCCAAAGGGCAGCCCCCAGCAGTTCCACGGGCGAGCGGCGAGGAGCAGACTCTTACTTGGTAGTCCACAAGGAGCTCCGGTCCTTTGAAGTACCTCGAGGCCACGCGGACGTTGTATTCCTGAGCGGGATGGTAGAATTCTGCCAAGCCCCAGTCTATGAGCCGCAGCTGACCGGGCGAGAGAGACACAGAGTCAGAGGCCACGGGTGCTGCCTCGGGACCGATGAGTCGGAGGGGGCCACGTCCACCGAAGCCCCTCAGCCCCGCGGCGCGAGCGGAGACTTGGGCGCAGGGAGGCACTCCGAGGGCAGGAGATGCTCTCAGCAGTTCTCTGGTCATGCTGTCCCCTTCCCCCTGTCGCCATGCGGTGCTGGTGGGGTTTACCCTGTCCTGGAGAGTTTCTCTGCCTCCCAAGTCAACTCAAATCATTATTGCTGGGTAAATTGCTCCCTACCAATGTCACCGGCCAAAGAAGGCCGGTCACTGCACGAGGGCATGAGCGAGGGCCAGCTGGTGTTCCAGGTCCTGTACTGGGACCGGGTCCGCAAGCAGCGCTCGCAATAACTGGGAGCTGAGGGTAGGGAACGAGGTCAGAGTGGCGGCCACCACATCCCACAAGGGACAGTGGCTTCTCTGCAGCTGCCAGGAGGGCGACCAGCTCCGTCCCTGCAGACAACTGCTCTGTAAGAGATTCCCTCTCCCAGCGAGCCCCGTCCTGCCTGCCCAGCCACGCGGAGGGGTCCATGGACCAGAGCTCGTCTGCTGCAGCAGCTCCCGGTCCCCCGGCTGCCCAACTGCACTGTAGAGAGCTGGGTACGAGCACCCCCAGGCTCTAACTAGGTTCCCGAGGGAAAACTGTTGCAGACAAGGCCTAAAGAACCAACCAACAGAGAAGCCTCCACCCTCCTGCCCACTGCAACTCCCCTGGCTTATTCCAGGCAGGAATAACTGCTGCTCCCTCAGAGAGGGGCAGAGCTGGGGAGAGGAGCCCCCTCCAAGGCTCAAACACCCACTCAGCCAGAGTCCCACTGGAGAGCGTTAATCTCCTGATATGGGCCCAAGGGGAGGGCAATAGGTAAAGAAATGATGAAAAACAAATATAGCAACCCAGACTGTGGGTATGGAGGCGACCGAGTTTCAACTTTCCTTGGGGGGTGGAAAAAAAAAAAAAAACCCTCCCATCAGCGCCGGTGCCATGGTACCTTTTTCTGTTGGTGGTCTATCATGACGTTGTGGGGCTTGACGTCCCTGTGCATGATGCCCATGCTGTGGCAGTAATCCAGGGCCTGGCAGACACACACACGCATTAGATGTGGCTGTAACCACGGGCACAGCATCAACAGCACAACAGGCAGTTGTCAGCGAGAAGCAGGATCACCCCGGAGAGGAGTCGCGCTTGCAGGTGAGCCCGATGTGCCCCAGCCTGCACCAGGCAGGCGCTTCTCCTTTTGGAGTCAATTCCCACACGCACCCAGTCTCATGGCTCTGCAGTGCATCCCAAGTGCTCCAGAGCTCCTGTTTGAGCGCTCGAGTGCCCTGTGCCCTGCTCCTGGGAGCAAGATCAGTGCTCCAGAAGGCAGGGGATGGCACGGGGGGGCAGCGCTGCGGCTCGCAGCTCCCAGCTCCGTGCCCTTGCACTGCTCATCCCCCCGCGCAGCTGCTCCTCCGGGAAGGAGGACGCGGCTCGCTCGGCTCCAAGGCGGAGCGAGGGGATCCAGCCATCCATCCGCACCTATCAGACGCTCCAAGGTCTCCAGACAGGGGCACTGAAGGAGGAGGCAGTCTAGGCACCCGTGCCAGAGGACTGACGCTGCCCGTGGGTCCCTGCCACAGGGAAGGGCAGGGGGAACGGGTTCCATCCCAGCAGGGGCTCGGGGAACCTCTCTGTAGTGACATGGGCCCACAGGCAACAGCACAGTGAGGGCTGGCAGTGCTCTTGGGATCTCTGTTGCTGGACAGACATGTAACACGCTGGACCAGCTGCTCCCAAGAACACAGCCCTTCCCTAAGCAGGGCCACTCACTTGCAGATAGAGGGCACCCACGAAGGGCCGAGTCCTGCTGAGGCCCCACTGGGAACAGCCGTCGCTGCAGCAGGTCAGCACAAAGCAGCCCCGCTGCAGCTGGCACCCGCGCACGGCCTGGTGCCCCGGGGCCTCCTGCAGCCCGAGACCCCAGAGGGGCCACGCAGGAGACCTTAGAGAGCTGCCATACGGCTCCCCGGGGACTTCTATAGGAAGGTGCAGGCTAGGCGAGCAAGGAGGAGTGTCTGGGGCACTTGTCACCCTTCTGCAAAGGGGTCGGCTTCAGCTGGCATGGCTCAAAGGGGAGGAGCAGAGTTGCATCAAATACAGGACCAAAGACTTGGTTGCCAAGACCACATTGATGGGGGTGTCGGACTGCAGGGTGCTGAGCGGGCCAGCTTGTTCCTGACAGTCCCCCAGCCTGTCCCTGCCACAGACACAGGGCTCTGACACCAAGCAAGTGAAGTCACCCCCTTCATTTGGTCACTGCAGAAGGAAGCCTGGAGCTGCTCTTCTCTTCTGGCTCTCTGCGGTGCCCAGAGCTTCCAGGTCCCCAGGAACAGGTTTGCTCAAGCCTCCAAACGCCTCCCAGGGCTCCCTCCACAAAGCCCTACCCAGCCACTCGCAATCACGGCTCGCTGGGGAGGAGAGGAGCAGATCCTAGAGAATCAGAGATCCTTCCGCGACGAGTGACGGTCCCCACATCGACCTAATGCCTCCTGGTAACGGGCTCTGCAGCTAGAGCTTCCCCCAGGCCTGCCCTGCTTGCGGGACGGGGATGCTGCACAGGACACGTGATGGCACTCACCTTCAGCAGCTCGTACATATAAAATCGAATATCAAAGTCTGTCAGGATCTGGTACAGTTGCTGAAATAGATTTGGGGAGGGAGAAGAAGAGAGAAACAAAATTAACAGTCTGGATTTGCAATAGTTTTGTTCCCTGTGTGTGGCACAGGGCTGTGGTGACACGCTCGGTGCGGGCACAAGTCGCCACCCTCCTCTCTGCCACGTCCCTCTGCAGTCGCTCATTGCCACCGAGGGAGCAACAAAGATCCAAGGTGTGTTTGAAGCCACGCTGCGTTATCAGCGGTCACTGGAGAAATCCTCAGCCTGTCATTCCTAGGCTGGGTCGCAAGCGGCCCCAGGCTGCTCTGTGCCACCCCAGCTGGGCGGCTGCTCTGCTCCCAGGAAAGCAAGGTGTAACAGGAGGCTGAAGGGGCTGGGCCACGAAGAATGGTCATGGGAGACCCACAGGACCGGACTCCTTTCTCCTTTCCAACAAGAATCTCCAAGCCCAAGACAAGATCCTCAGAAGACCTAAGAGGGTTCTCACGCTGCCACGCTCCGGGCCGGAGCCGTACGCAGGGAACCCTTCCCACTGCTGCCCTGGGAAGGGTCTAGCAACAACCACGTGTCATTTAGAGGCACGGTACACAACACGGCCTCCGGTACACAAGCTGCTCTCCAGTCTCAGGAGCTGGGATGATCTCAATGCTTACGAGCAATGCAGCGAAGCAGACAAGTCGCAAGGAGCAAAAGGGACATAGCTACAGCAGGGACAGATGTGCTGCTCTGGTCACAGGGGCTCCCTTACACACAAGCCAGGGCCAAGCCCTGCCAGCAGCGCCCAGCTGAGCTCCCTAAGGAAACAGCTTGCTGGGATAATGCACAGTTTGGGAGGGATGAAGATGCTATAACCAGGTCCTGCTGTGAATCCCCAGCCTTGCTCAACGCTAACACACTCCACTCGGCAACACCAAAGCATCCAAGGGCAGCCGACTGCTTCCACGCGACCCAGCGCGGGCCAGGGACAGGAACGGCAGCAGCAGAGCAAGGCTGGAGCCCCAGGGCCCTGTGCCCTGGCTCCTCTGCCTGTAGGGAGGGATGGGGCAAGGTCACTGATCCTCCTCTGGGCCCCACGACGCAGCTGATGCGGCACCTCCGACCCTCCCGCTGCGCCACACGCGGGAGGCTCCACTCGCTGCCCGCAGCGGTCCCGCCACGAACCTTCTTGGCTCTTCCCTGCTCCCACGCAGCCACGTGGGTGTCTCCACTGCACAAACTGGCCCAACATTTCCCTGGGAAAGCGTCAGTGGAGCCCCCCTAACCTCCTTGCCCAACCTAGCAGGCAAAAGCAGGCCCTCCTGCTTTGCAGACATCTCCCACACTTGGCTCCTAAAGCCTGGCTCTTTGGACGAGAGCCACCGGAAACGTCACCGCAGGCCTTGCTGTCCTAAACCCACCTCCAGTATCTGCTCAGCCAGTGGCCAGCGCTCCACATCACACCAGCCCTCGGGGAGCTGGGTCGGGTCCCACAAGGCTGGGGTGCAGAGCAGGCAGCAGCAACACAAGTAGAAACTGCCTCCAAACATCCCGGCCCCTGGCAGCCACAACAAGGAGAGGCTCCTTCACAGCTCTGCCTTCCTCTACGGAAGGCACCAACTCTTTTTTGAGCTCATCTGAGATGTGCAAAGATGAAACACACGGAGACGCTTCCTCGCAGCAGCTTCACCTGAAAATTCGCCCAGGGGCACAAGCAGCGAAAGGTTTCGCTCCCAAACCCTCTTCCTCAGCAGCTACAGCACAACGAAGATGCCAAGACGACCGTGTGGCTGCACTCCCCGCTGCTGCTCAGCCCTGTGAGCCAACTGCACACCCAGGGGTTCAGTCCCCTTTCCTACTCCCCAAGGGATTTGTCTCTCCAAGTCAGCCAGGGGCCTGCACAGAGGCAGGAGCACTTGGGGATTAAACAAAACAGTGACAGTTTATGGTATCGGAAGGACAGAGGCCCATTTCTCCTCTGAAAGCAGTTAGAATTAAGGTATTTTTCCTAACAATTTCTGGATTGCCAAGTTAAGGCAGATGACTGTAACTGGAGTACACACAGATACTCGAGTACTCACAGATGACCAGTTATACAACAGATCTGAAGAGAAACACGGGCCACATGCACAAGCTGCCTTCCTCCCACAGCACAATATACATTTAATCAACCTCTGGCTCACCAGCCCCACAAAACTAGACCCATCAGTCTAAGAAGGGATCCAGCCATGTAGTTGAAGACAACATAACCAACTCTAGAGAGGTACCACGTAAGGCTGCTTATCCTGTCATTTAAAAGTAGTCAAACCCGGGTGCATTAAGCAGAGCGTCTCCAGCAGGTCGAGGGAGGTGATCCTGCCAATCTACTCAGCCCTGGTGA